ATGAACTTATCCTTTTCTTTTTGCCAGTTCTATTGCCTATTATTTTCTAGATTCAAATTTCAATAAACACTAGAATATAGAACTACCCATGTAAATTATGATTATTGTAGGTATTAAAACAAATATGTATAACTTATATTAAATATTGAATAGATAACACTATAAATTATTCATTTCAATTTACTGCAATCATTGCAGAACCATTGTTTGGTTTTCTTTGGGAATTTAGATAAAGTGGAACAAGTCTTATAATACCAGTCCAAAAAATGCTCACATCAGATACTTGTATCATTTTCTGTGTACTAATCTCATTGACAACATCCACAAGTATATACTCTAGAATCTAGAATATATCTATTGATTCTTTATTATTTTCTTTCAACATATTCTGAAGACATTTATAAGCATTTTCAGAAAAGTAGATATGAATGTCTTTTCAAAATAATTTCTACCTCCATAATTTGTGGACTTATCACATGATATTCAGTAGATCTTGTACCAAAATTATAAAATTTGAACAAAAAAATCAAGGTATTAACAGAAATCTTGTGAGAAATAAAATTTTTCTAATACAGGTAGGAATAGATTTGCAAATTATGTGCATTTTTTTTTTCTTTTCTTGAGGTCTATATCAAGTTTTTTGAGGTATGTACCTAGTGTTATCCCATTCCCTATCCCTATCAGTTTCTTCAATTTCCTTTTCTTTCTTAACATTATTATTTCATTATATACTTCATACAGGGTGTTTCAGAGTTGTAGTGACAAAGCAAAGGGGATATTCCTAACAACAAGATATAAAAATCCAAATTGCCTAATAGTTACACCCTTACTTATGCCTTGGGGTATGCCCCTGAAAAATCATAATCACTAAAATCATCCTAAGCTTTTTCACAGATTATTGTTAATCTGTGGCATTTTCAAGATATTAATAACAAAATTACTACCTTTTCAAACGTCAAATCTATATCACCCAAACAAAGAATTTTAGGACCTATGTTCATATGAACTTTTTTTTTTCATTTTGTGGCTAGAAATCTCCCCTAGGCTTTTGTCACCACAACTCTGAAACACCCTGTATACACATACCAATTATTAGTACACACATCAACTTTCTTGTTTTCCATTCTCAAGTTTCTTCTAAGTAAATTCTTAAATGAATTGAATATAGTTCCATGTTCCACAGGTGCAAACCTTCAGTAAAAACTATTAAAGTTCTGCAAGGTACCAGAACTCTAACCATGGCCTTCAAAAATATCACTCACCTCTTCCATCTCCAAATTTATACACCAAATTACCAAATAATTTGCTGTGTCTTCACAAACCAAATGTGGGTGTGATTTCAGGAACATTCTAGAGTCATCATATTTTCGGAGCATACCAAAATTTTTCAGATCTTTTTTATTTTCCTCAATGAATTTTTTCATTCTTGTTTCTCGTTCTTCTTCTGTCAAATTCTCATCTTTAGGGCGGGCAGGTTTCTTATTGATAACAGTTTTAGCAAAGCCAGGTTTACTGATTGTGTCTACATTCCAAGGAGTTAATTTGTCCTTCTTTTTGAAGTCATCCTCTTCTTTCTTAAGAGCTTCCATTTCTTTCTCTAGCTCTTGAAGATTTTTATTTAGTGTTTCCAAGTTCTCAGCTGAAGATTTCTCAGCTTCCTTTACCTTTTCTTTAATTTCATTTATCTTTTTTGTCTGTTCAGACTTTTTTTTCTCAATAGCATCCAGTTCTTGTTTTCTCCCTTCCATTCGCTCAACCCTGGCTTGATGTCTCCAACGAAATAGGGAGGGTGTGTCAATATTTGGATGTGTCTCATCTTCATCATCTGATATCTGGAAAAAAGTATAGTTGATAAGGTAAACAAATTTGATGTATCTCACAAATTACCTCAATATTTTTCCATTTACTGTAATCAACCATTGTTATCTCTGAATAAAATATCACAATTCAAATTATATGTAAGGTAATCACAAATTTGTCCAATTATCAATTTATTTACACCTAGACTTCTACTTTTAAGAATAATAATAACTCACAGCAGATACTTCTAAAATTCTCAATTTGCAAATTCCTAGAAAATTTCACCTTGACACTGAAATGAATAATTGAATATGATCAAAATCAAAATATGATTTACTCTGCTTTGCCTGAAACTGTTGAAAATATCTGACTGAAAGAGTGAATACTGAAAATAGTAATAGAAACTTCTAGAAACAACCAATGGAAACAACTGCACTTATCTTATCATTATCAAACTAGTCCAATCCAAACACTGAAGAAAAATAAGAAGAGAAGAAGGAAGAAGAATACACATTACACACTGTGACATATGTCATCTTTGATCTAAGATTTTCACAGCCTGGCAGCATACTACTAATTGAATGACTGGCGAGAGACGTTTGTAATCTATTGTGTTCTTGGTTGTCAGTTGTCATTCATTCTGCGAAATGTCAACTTTGACGCGTTCATTCATATATCTACTATTCATATATGAAGCATAGCTGTCCTCAAAGCGGGACCAACATCTGCCTCATGGAAGAATGATGGAAGTAAGATATGGTGCGCGCATTCGGCCATTATTACGTTCAAAGAACATCGTGCGTTTCTAGGGAGGATAGGGATAGGAGGTAGGTATTGGAATTTTGTTTGAACTTCTGTGGAGATTATATGTTGTTGGGAATACTTCCTCAGGCAATGAATTCCAGAGCCTAGCCGTTCTATGGATGAAGGAGTTTTGATAAAGTGCTGTCCGACATCTTTCGAGGTTGACAACGAAAGGATGTGCTGACTGGGCTTGTCTAGTTCGTCTGACTGGTATTGCTAGTAAAATTTCTGAAACAAAAGCGCATCAGTAATTACACCATATCTTACTTCCATCATTCTCTATAGGTAACCAAATTGACCAAAGATTCAAAAAGTACCTCTCATTTTGGTCCCATTTTTGTTGAGACATCATTTAGGCCATGCGCCATATATAGAAATAGTACATATGCGTTGCCTTTACGATATCAACAAAAATGGGACCAGGTACTTTTTGAATCTATAAAGACGGAAAGGGAAGGATGGAAACTGCTGTCGTAAGGATCAGATTTTGAGTTAGGTTAGGTTCAATAATTATTTGATCCTAATAAAATAATAAAATCATCATTTGTTGATGCTTGATTGAATGGAATGAAAATCAGCCCAATTGAATACATAGGCTATATTCCGAGTTCTAACTGACAGTACTGAATCTGCTGATTTTTCATTCCGAAATCGAAAAAATTCACTGAAAAGTGACAGATACTTGTGAGCAGAAATACCATTCATTCCAAATATTTCGACACAACATTCTGCTGAAATTACTGACCATCGAAATTACTAGAAGTATCGAAAAAAATATTTTCGAAAAATCTTTTTTTTTCGTGTGGAGTCTACCAAACGATTTGGCAAGGAATTATTTTCTGATAGCATGATTCTACACATGATTACCTATCTCCCTGACCCAAAAGCAGCTGAGCAGTTTTTTGCAAAGGTATCGAAAAAAAAAAAATATTTTCGAAAAATCTGTTTTTTTCATGAGGAGTCTACCATACGATTCCGCAAGGAATTATTTCCTGATGGCATGATTCTACACATGATTACCTATCTTCCTAACCCAAAAGCAGCTAAGCAGTTTATTGCAAAAGAATATGAAAAAATATTTTCGAAAAATCTGTTTTTTTCATGTGGAGTCTACCAAACGATTTGGCACGGAATTATTTTCTGATAGCATGATTCTCCACATAATTACCTATCTTCCTGACCAAGAGCAGCTGAGCAGTTGTTTGCAAAAGTATGGAAAAAAATATTTTCGTAAAATCAGTTTTTTTCGTGTGGAGTCTACCATATACGATTTCGCTAGGAATTATTTTCTGATAGCATGAATCATGATTCTACACATGATTACCGATCTCCCTGACCCAAAAGCAGCTGAGCAGTTTTTTGCCAAAGTATCGAAAATAAAATATTTTTGAGATTTTATAGTCTCTTTAGTCTCTCATAACTATGATTTGGTAAGGAATGATAGACTCTATAGGGTGTTCCGAAACTATTGTGCCAAAATGTAAGGGTGGGTAGATCTCGCCAAAACAAACGTTTTTACTTATCAACCCATAGGCGCATGCACCTTATTTCGGTACCAATAGGTATCACAAGAAAAAAGTTTAACATATGTGCATACTCAAATAATATCGATATTGAGTGCCCAGCTCTACCGATTTTGACGTATGTACATACATAAATAAATGATATCGATATTGAGTGCTCAGCTCTACCGATTTTGACGATCGAGACCAATCGCTGCGCTCCCGACACTCGTATTGCGTAGACTTCTCATTTATTATTGCGTCGTGGCAATGTGTAAAACCTAACTCAATCTAAATTGTAGTGTTTTTTTTTTATAAACTCTCCCATATATTGCTTGTGATTTCATGTCATTTACTAACACGGTTTCCGGTACAAACACGTTTCCCCGTGTCCGAGGTTGGATACCACTGCGCGGACCTTAATGCGCTATTATCACTGAACGCATGCGCATGCGCCTATGGGTTAATAAGTGAAAAACGTTTTGGCGAGATCTACCAACCCTTGAATTTTGGCACAATAGTTTCGGAACACCCTGTAGAGAATGATTCGAGAGCCAAAAGCAACTGTGCAGTGCTTCATTCACAATGCTAAAATTATTGTTTTTTTTTTCAAGTTGGCTGCTCTAGGGCACTTATAATCAATTTTGATAATAATGGATTAGATATTCATCGCCGAGCTTAACTACATACATCGCATCATCGCAAAGAAAAGCAGTTGAGGAATTTCGATATTCCCTACCCAAAAAGGGGGGGAAACGTGTGCCACTGGTCGATCGGGAAAGTTCGGAAATTCTGACAGCCAGCTCTTCTGGCAGCCCACTTCACGTAGGTAAGAGAAGAAGAAGAAAAACCAAAACCACTAACCTTCAAATAAACATACACAAATCTGTGAAGTGTGTAATCTTTATTATGGAGAAACTGCAGTGAGAACAAGAAACAAGATCATTATAAATGTGTATGAATACATAATAGTGATACATGTTATGTAAAATGCACAAACAAATGGGAGTAATGGGACTCCATCATTCTAATATTTTTACTTCAATATTATTTGGTCCTAATGGTCTAATTTGTTCTGAACAATCAGGAAGACGATTATTGAGCTTCAGTAATATACCAGGGCCTAGGTCATTGCCAGGAATTGGGACACTATATAAATATTTTCCAGTTATAGGTAAGGAACAAACAAGAGTAGGTACTATCAAGGAATTTAACTTTTTTTATCTATGGATTCAGGTGTTTACAAATTTGATGAGCTTCATCACAATGGTGTGAAAAAATATAGAGATTATGGACCAGTGGTTAGAGAAGAGATCATGCCAGGTATTAATATTGTTTGGCTATTTGATCCTCAGGATATTGAAACAATGTTCAGATATGAAGGAAAGTATCCACAAAGGAGAAGTCATTTGGCTTTGGAGAAGTATCGCTTAGATAGACCAAATGTTTATAATTCTGGAGGATTATTGCCCACGTAAGAAAAAAAAATGGTTTTCTTCAACTTTTGTACATGTTGAGCAAATTTCATGATGGCTTACTCTTCACCTGCTTGGTTACTTGTTGTTGTAGGTTGTAGATAGTAGGTTGGTAGTAAGGCAAGGGATGAGATTATTAGAACATGTAGTAAAAAGTTTTAATACAGGGTATCTAAGATGGTGTCTAACATTAACATTATCTCAATGATTTTACATGATAAATAAATTATTCAGGATATTCATCAAAAAAGAAAAATTTTCATTTTCTGTGCTCTTACTTGGACTTGGAGCTATATTGATAATAGGGTGGAAGAGAGGTGAAATCAATGCTACAAAATCAATCAACTATTTTATCATGGCTGGAACTCATAGCTGGAACTCATGGCTGGTGTTACACTGATCAGGTTCTGTGGAGAGGAAGAAGAAACACTTTCTAAATTTTTCATTAAATGTGTCACCCTACAGAACCCAAAGACAAGAAAACTAGGAGCACACATAATATAGGAGGATGAGTTACCCTATTTTGAACCACCTCATATCCTGAAATTTAGATTTAGGACTAGAGAAACTGCTATAGCATGATACACACCTCTTGTGTATACAAGTTTGATACCTTAAGAAGGGACATCACAAATTTCACCATCATGGTTATGCAGATTCAAGTTTGATTGACCCATTGATCAAATCATTGAAGACAGAAAGGTTGAAAATAGGATATCTATCAGCTGATTATGGTATGCAGTAAGAACTAAATAGTTCAAACAAAGCTGTAGATCTTTAGTGTCCTTACAATACCTTCAAAGGTTTAGTTGTTTAGTCTTCATTGGAAACTTTTTCTTCTTGACTTTGTATTTCTGAATGTGAAAAATCAAAGTTCATTGGACATAACATAAATTAGATATTTATGTATCAAGGGTGTGAAATAGGCTTTTATGGAATACACCTGTCCATAAACTCAAGTTGCCCCTGAAATATATATTTGATTTCTCATTATGAATATCCCTTCACCTCAAGCACAATAGAAATACATCATGGTTCCAGTGAGGAATATCATTGATGGAATCCTTAGATGGAATTACCTAACTTTACTGTGGTAACTCAGTCAATTTTTTGAAATAGGAGTTCATGTCATCACCACTTCATCAAAGATAACTTATTTTCGGTTTCATCATATCATTTTGCATCTCAGAAATGTCAAGAGAAATGTGATAATAAATAATGAACCATCACAACTGAAACATATATGTCCTGAATCATACAGGAATGCTTATATCATAAGTTACCTATCTGCTGGGCGATTAAGTAGTCCGCGGGCGCTAAAGTGCTACTTTACGCCCGGTCGTGCATAAAATACATTATGCTAGCACTTCAACATGACAGTATAGTCCAATAAATGAAGGAGGAAAAAAGGCAAAGTTAACGTGAATTACGCACTATTTTCATCTTCCGGTTGGAAGTAGCTTTTGGTGCCTCATTAAACATGTGACAAAGTTTGACTGGAAAACGCGTGCGATGGCGGAGAAAATGGCCCCAAAAGACCAGGAAAATAGGTTATCAGCCAATATCTCCTAAAATATGGCAGTTAGAGATTTTCGGTTCAGATAAAAATTGAAGTTCAGTTAATTTTCTACAAAAATGATCCTTATCATTTTTTTCGCAACATCAATATTTTCTGCAAAAAAATCGGGTTGAAAAACTGGAAATTTTGAGACTTGTGAAATATGCAAGTTTTGTACAAAATTTGTGCTGGGGGTTGTTGGAAATCCATTATTTTCAATGTTTTGGATTGTGGAAACCAATTGTAGATGGCGCCACCACATTTTACAGATTGGGAAAATCCTCGGTGCCATAAATGAGAAACCCTGTAACCAGAAATTTTTGATGGATATTTATGTTTCCGAAGGTCTCGTTTTCCTCTCAGAAGAGGCCTCAAAATATACTTATTAGGAAAACAGGCTATAAGATTAATTACAGCAGGATGGACCTCACCAGTTGGCCTAAATCTAGCAGAGTGAAAATTGTTGCACTGGAAGCCGCCATTTCTACATTTGAGAATGAAGCGTCTCCTGCACTGTTTGTGCATTTGCACAGACGTTTGTTTTTCTAAAAAAATATGATGTTTATCCTTCCTTTCCTTGCTCACATCAATCAAATTTTCTAAGCCCCGAGTTACGGTGACAGCATCCGCAGAAATGTGTTCCTTACAAAGGAAACACACTGCTGTAGCAGAGTTGACCTCCATTTTTCTATAACAAGAAAGGCAGACCAAGATTTCACTTAAAATAGTTGCTTGTAAACAAATGTTCTTGAATAAAAACAACATGAACAAATTCTCACCTTTAGCTCCAATTTTACAAAATTTGATTCTTCACTTTCTATATGTTTTGGGTTGGTGATAAAAGTTAATTTTAACGAAAAACGTGAATATTTGTTCAATATTCTTCACTTTTATCACTTTTCTCTCTATAATTGACAATAATATTTATCAAAACAATGACAGAAAACAAACACAGTTATGCCTCCAAGCGTGGCCGCATGGTTTGTAGCAGACGACCCGAGCGCCACGTAGAGCACACACGCGGCGAACGACGGAGGAACGAAAGTAATAAATTATAGCGTGTACATTTTTTAGATATACTGGTTTTTTCCCGGGATATCAAAGGTATGACTTATATACATCGATGGAAAGGTGGGAATTCCCCCGTTACACTAGTTAAGGTGTTAGAAATAAAGAGCACGGAGAAAAAAAAACACCGAAAAAAAAAGTGCGTTTTTTCCTTGACCCCGATTTTTCTAATTTTATTGAAAAATGGACGACTTTGTCTAAAAAAGTAATTGCACAATCAAAAAGTAGACCTTCTTAGCTTTCTAATGATGTATCATAGAAACCAATCGGATCATGTATAAATTTTTAATTGATGGTTGTTCACAAAATTTCCCCGCGCTCCAAAAACAGCAGAAAATTGGGATTCAATAAACAAAGATTGAATGAAAATTTAAAAAAATTAGGGTACACAAATTTCAGGGATGACAAAGGACCTTATGAGGACCCATAATCAAGAAAATTTTGAGTAAATTAGTGCAATACAAAAAAAATAGGAACAAATTCCTGGCGAGGTCAAAATTGATCGGGAGCAGAAAGTTTGACCCATGTTCCGATGTGGCCAAAAGAGTCAAGCATAACTCAATTCACAGGGTATGATAGCAGCAGAATTCCTCTTTCACATGAACTTTGAATCATGAGAAAATATGGATTTTTAACAAAGTTATTGAATAATTTGTCCCCCCGCCGATGTGTGAATACACGGACTGTGCTCTCCGGCATACAACAGAAGCTCATTATTCGAGGTGCGCTTCGTGCCGTTTTTCTCGAAACGGGCAAATTTTCGAGAAAAATGATGAGGATCATTTTTGTAGAAAATTAACTGAACTTCAATTTTTATCTGAACCGAAAATCTCTAACTGCCATATTTTAGGAGATATTGGCTGAAAACCTATTTTTCTGGTCTTTTGGGGCCATTTTCTCCGCCATCGCACACGTTTTCCAGTCAAACTTTGTCTCATGTTTAATGAGGTACCAAAAGCTACTTCCAACCGGAAGATGAAAATAGTGCGTAATTAATGTTTTTACCATTTATTTATTGGACTAGTATGGAAGCAGCCATGGTAGCTGTTTGAGAGAAATGTAATCTGCACATCATCCCATGTTGGGAAACACATTTTAATCTGTTTGTACCATAATTAGCCATAATTTTGATATTATTGAACAGGAGCCAAGATATTTTTATGGCTAATTTTATTGTCAACCTGACGGGTAGTCACTGATGATGACTGTATAGTCAGAAGCACTCTGCTATGAAACATTTGAATGAATTATTTTGCAAGAAATACAAATCCGTACTATGCCAAATGGCTAACAACCAAAGTGTTTCTGCCAGTAAATACAAAATCATTTATGTATGCATCATTTAAATAGTGATTTTACAAATTTTCCAGAGTGTCACAGGGTGCCGTAGCACCCTGTTTATTAGGTGGTTGGTTGGTTGCCTTGAATGCAGGTTCTGTGGGGAAGAAGAGGAAACCTCTATCCGTACATACGAAATATATTACCCCACAGAACCCAAGGGCAAGAAACCTAGGAGCACACTTAATAGAGGTGAAGCTAGGACTAGAGAAATTGCTACAGCAACGGAGAACAACCTCATCGGGTATAGCAAGAGAAGGGGGTACAATAGATCTTTTTTGTCCCCTTATGCATACAATACATATAATACATCCTCTTTGGTACAATCCGTTACACTTTGGACATAACATTAACATATTATTAGCTAATTATTCGAATACTAATACAGATTGGGCAATTTTTTTTAATTGCTTAGGTCTTTCTAATTGCATGAGAAGTGTAGCACTTTCCTATAACTACTTCGGGAAATTCACACTATATTTGAGTATTCCTTTGTGTTTTCCATACCAGTGTAGTTTATCTCTACCAAGTCTCGGGCAGGTGTGAAATACACTGAAACTCAAGAACGGATAAAATCGTGATTCAAAACTTGGATTAGGTACATGGTTATAAATGGTATCAGTTACCTACATCGAATATCGAAATTTAAGGATCAAACTGCATTCCCTTCCACAATTCATATTTTATCCGTTTGGTATAGCTGCATGACGACTCATATGTTTCATAGTGTAGTACATATTACAAGACAACGAAAAGCTGACAAATGAGCCTTATAAAATGATCCGCCAAATGACCATAATAATTATACAGGGTTATTGGTAATTCGATACATTCCTTTGGAGATGTGACAGGGGAGGTGGTAGGAAGTAGATGTAACCCTAATATGCATTATGCGAAAGTAATTTTTTTTGAGATATTTACATTTTTCTGTTTATGTGTTTATTTATTCACAAACAAAAATACGACTTTGTATTTACAATTTATCTATGATCCAAACTATTACTGGATTTTTCTCATTTGAAACATAAGAGTGTTGATTATGTATTCTAGTTGAAAGGTAGAAACAATGGTGAGCAGATTTTCGGGAATCTTAACTTTCAAATCATTAAAGTCTACCTTTCGGAGAAAAACAGAAAAATTCAAATATCTCGAAAATTATTTACTTTTGGATAATGCATATTAGGATTTTATTCACTCCTTACTACCTCCCCTATCACATCTCTAAAGGAATGTATCGAATTACCAGTAACCCTGTATAATACGTTTAGGAAATCGAAATTTAATCAACGTCATTCCTTGCTCGCACAAGACTCTCGAAGACTTCTGAGGGTTGCTCGTAAGGGGGCAACCGAATGACGGATAGAACAACAACAACAATTTTTAGCGATATTTCGGACATTGAACATACCACATTTTCTATTTCTTGTTATGGATGAAAAACTTTTTTGTTTCAGAAATGGGCCTGAATGGTTTAGAATCCGAAGTGTATTTCAGAGAGGCTTGAGTAGCCCTCAAGCTGTCAAGAACTTCCTCAGTGGTACAAACGAGGTTATTGACGAGTGGCTTGTGATGATTGAAGAAATAAGTAAACGGCCCAACACAGATTACCTTCCAGAGTTGTCAAGATTATTTTTAGAACGTATGTTGTATAATAATAGTTGATTCAGGAATCATTTCGAGTCATATAATTCTTGTGAAATATTAAAAAGCATGAGAAGTTCAATTTCAGAATATTGATCGAGTTACGAATCTATTAGACGAGTCATAATGGGGAAGTTTCCTTCGATTGAATTTTCATAAAATAAGTTCGGAACTCCTCAGTTTTATGTGCACGCTGTTCAGAATGGCGATCACCGTATATATTTTTTTCAGATGAATATAGTTTTGATCGCTTGTCTTTTCATCTATACCCCAATATATATTTCTCGGCCTCAAACATTTTCCAAGCCAAGTTGTCACTTACTATCGGCTTAATTTTTCTTTCATGTTTTGTAAAAGTTAAATTCTTAATTGCAGTGACAATTTGAGGGAAATCATCTAATCTGCCTTGCTACAGATATATTCAAATAATTCCATATTTTCATTAGTACAAACGAGGGAAGAAAATCACAAAAATCTTGAGAAATATTCCACCTCGATTAACATACAGCCATATTCAAAGAAGAATAGGATGAATAGGGTTTTCTATAATCGTTAGCAAAAGAGATTCTATACTGTTTTGGCCCAACAGGTCTTTGATCTGCTGACAGGTTTCCTGGAGATAGTAGACAAAAGAAAATGTATAGAAAAAGTCAATCTTCAATTATTTCCTGGATACATATATTATAGTCAAGTCCAAGAAGCCAGCGATAAACAAAGTGACTAACGCGTGATTATATTTGAGATACTCTTCTATTGGTCAATGCGCCAGGGACGCCAAGTCTGTTGGCGAGAGTGGGATGTTTCGTCTACAAAACCGCATTAGTAACCACGTTTTTTCTTTACAGTAAACTTTTTTGAATTTGATAATTATTTATAAAATGACAAAACTATTCCCCCTGCAATTGGAACCCTCGTATCATGAAAATGCATATTTCTTGGTAATCGAAAGGGCACAGGCTAGTTCTCGTAAAGTCACCTGTGAATTTATCGATTCAATCGGAAGTGACTTACTAATCTTCTTATTTCAAATATCACCGTATATATTTTTTTCAGATGAATATTGTTTTGATCGCGTGTCTTCACTACCCCAAGCAAGATTGGACAGAGCGTCATTAAGTTGTTTTTCACGTTAGACTTATGTCATTTGGATCAGAGGAATAGTTCCTGAAAACCCATATTTTCCATGAAAAAACAATTGAATATCAATTCCAGTTCTACCGGAAATTGAACTAGGCCCAGAATTTAGAATGGAACGGCACTCTGTAGATATTTTTACGTCATTCGCTAGGGAACAAAACTATTTTCAATGATATATCATGAGTGCACATTTGTTTTCAAAATGGCGGCAAAGTAGACATTTATTCTACAATCAATATGGCGACACTGACGTCGTCGATCGAATTTTTGTCAAGCAATCTAATGAAATAGTAAGTAGACGAAGCCCTTTGTTAGTTTTTCATGAAACATGCGAAAATTTTGCTTCATTGCCAATCAGGATATCTTTTAGTAATTCTTTCAAATACATTCTTTCTCTCTAATAATAATAATAATAATTCTGTACATATTTTTACGTCATTCGCTAGAGAAACAAAACTCTTCAATGATATATCAAAAGTACACATTTGTTATCAAAATGGCGGCAAAGTAGACATTTTTTCTAAAATCAATATGGCGACACTGACGTCGTCGATCGAATTTTCATCAAGCAATTTAATAAAATAATAAATTGACGAAGCCCCTTGTTAGTTTTTTATGAAACATGCGAAAATTTTTCTTCATTTTCAATCAGGATACCTTTTACTAATTCTTTCAATTACATTTATGTAAACAAATATACAATACGATACAATCAAGTGGCTATCGACCTTCTCTTTGATTTTCTCGAAAATTTGAAAGAGGAAATGGTACTTTTTCAAATTAACATCAAAGTGAAATTATAGGTCAACATGTACAGATAAATCCTTGATATCTACTCCTCTCATTTTCATTTTCAATAGAATATATTAAAAGTGAAAAAAAAAAATTAATAAAAACCCTTTATTTAAACGCTCTAAGAAGAATACAATAAAATGTTCCTTTATAATTTCAACTATCAACTTATAACCTCATTATACACAAAAAGCTTGTTGCGCAATTTACTTATGTGAATAGAATAGAATAGAATAGAACTTTATTTACGGTTATCCATTGCATAAATTATAATCACAAATATTATTACAAGATGGGAAAAGAGTATATAAAATATATACCTATGTAAATATTCAACAAATACAAATAAACATATGACAAAAGAATATCCTAAATCAGTATGAATCTATCAGTAATCAGGCACAGTTGCTATATATCCTAGATCATTATGAATCTATATCACAGTAATCAAACACAGCTGCTTATAAAGGGGTACTATTAATGGTAATCAATGACTTCTTGAAAAACTGAAACGAATTACTGAAAATGTCAACATGTATACAATTATTATTGAATTCCCTTGGTATCCTTGAGAGAGGGCTATGCATGCCATAATTTGTGGAATGATGGTTAATGTAAAATAGTGCTTTGTTTCTAGTCCTACTGTTTGTACTTAGCTGAATTTCTGATACAAGTTCGGGACAGTCAATGATACCATTTAACAATTTATATAAAAGAGCAAGTCTGTGTTGAACCTACGTTTTTCTAAAGTTTCCAAACTTGTGCTATTTTGAATGTTGTCATAATCATGATTCCAATTTATTCCCAGTCTGAATGCATAATGCCTGAAAAGTTTTCTCTGTATTCCTTCAATTGTCCCGATATCGATACTGTAGTAAAGACACCATATCACAGAAGCATATTCTAAGCCTGACCTAACAAGTGCACAGTATAATAGTTTTAAACTATTAACTGACATATCCTTTGTGTTTCTCATAACAAATCCAAGATTTCTATAGCCAATAGTAGCTACTTTCAAAATATGTTGTTTAAAGGTCAACTTACTATCAATCAAAATGCCTAAGTCTTTGATTTCAGCGACGCGAAGCAACGATTCATCTTTTATTTTATAATCAAATGTAAGTGGAGAGTTGGATTTAGAGAATGTTATGCAGAAATACTTGTTGACGTTCAGACACAGTGCATTAAAATCAGCCCAATTACAAACATGTTCAATGTCATTCTGAAGCTCATTGCAATGATTGATATTTGATATTGTTTTGTAGATTTTCACATCGTCACACCAAATATTTTGAATTTTGTAACACTTCATTTAAATCATTGACAAATAGGCTGAACAGAATTGGACCACAATGGAAACCTTGAGGGACACCAGAAGAAACCTCAATAGCATTTGAAATGAAGTTATTAATTCTAACACATTGAACTCTTTCAATCAGGAAGCTATATTTATCCATGTTAGGGCTTGGCTGCCAATTCCAAGTGCTTTCAACTTAGCAATTAATAATGTGTGTTCAACTATATCAAAAGCTTTCGTGAAATCAGTGTATACATTATAAACCTGAACACGATTTCCCAATGCATTTAAATTATTAGATTGATATATCATCAAATTTGTTCTGGAATAATGACATGTCTAGAGGACCACTTTAGTTGTACCGAAATGAGTTTATCAAACAGTTTGGGTATCTCAGATTGGATTGCAACACTCCGATAATTTGAAATATTTTCTTTATCTCCAGTTTTGTATATTGGTGTTATGAAAGTATTTTTCCAATACTGGGGAAAAACAGCAGTATTCAAAGATAGGCTGAACAGTATAAAAATAGGTCTGGTTAAAGTGTATACACAACTTTTCAAAATTATACCTGGTATACCATCAGGACCATAAGATAACTTGGGTTTCAGCTGACCTATTGCATTGAAGATATCTAAAATTGATATCGTGAATTTATGAAGTTCCATGGTTCTAGTAAAATTGTAATTTGGTATTTCAGTTTGGGTATCAGAATATACTGATGAGAAAAACTTTGCAAATAACTTAGCAGTATTATTACCATCATTACTAAATTCATTGTTATAATAAGTGTGCATAGGATATTCATTGTTCTTTCTCATATCCTTGATATGTTTCCAAAAATATGAGGGATTAGAGGTTAGGTTGAATTCGAGTATGTTGATATAATTGCTGTAGCATCCATTGTTAATTAATTTGCATTGATTTCGTAGAGAGGAAAACCTCAAGTAATCACAATGTAAACGAGTCTGTTTATATCTTTTATGAGCAATTTTCTTCTCAATGGTGAGTGTTTCTTAGGTCGGCTGAAAACCAACTTGGAAAATTACTAGATCTAAACTTCTTTATAGGAACAAATATGTTGATTGCAGTATATAATATGTCATAAAATATTTCCAGGACATTATTTACATCAGATACATACATCAAGAACAGAATCCCACTGGATATTTGCTAAATAATCATTTAAGCCTATAAAATTTGTGCTTCTGAAATCATGATAATAAATGTCATATTTCAAAGACTTACATTCATTTTCTGAGATTATTTCAAAGTTATAGGCAATGTGATGATAACTTTCAGGTAATAACAAATCATCTGTCTGAGTGATAATCATTTCCTGAACATGTGTGAAACATAAATCCAAAACACACCCCTATCATTAGGTATTAAATTCACTTGACACATATTTAAAAAACAAACTGCTTCGGGAATGTTATAGTCCCCCCAAATACAAAAACGATGTCCTGGGTAGGACGCACATAAATGTTCCACAACATTAGAGTGTTCAGAGTATACATTAACATATGATCCTGGTGGAATATAAACGGCACCAACTATATATTTTATTTTTCCAATATTTAAAGAGAAACAAATGCTCTACCTGATCATCATCTGTATTTCTACAAAATGAACTAGTACTAATTCAATTGTATTTTATTTGAGAATAGAAACAAGAGGCATTGTGTGCAATCGCTAAATCGAGTGCAAATTTCCGCATCATTTTGCTCAGGAAAGTGATTGGCACAGGTGACGTTCGATGTACTACAATGTTTTTACTTTTCTTTGGGACATATATCATTTCCTTATCCGATGCCGGTAGAAATCTGCAGCCGGCTTTCCTACTATATGGAACTATATTTTTTCAAATTAACATTAATTTGAAAAAAATACCATTTCTTATTTAAAATTTCCGAGGAAATTCACGAGCAAGAATATAATTTAAAATAATTACTAGAAGGTATCATCAAAAATTTATCAAAGTGCTTCGTCTTTTTGCTATTTTATCAGGTTGCTTGACGAAAATTCGATCGATGACGTGACAGTATCGCCATATATTATTGATTTTGGGAAAATGTTTCCTGCGCCGCCATTTTGAAAGCAAATGTCAACTTTTGATATGTAATTGAACAGGATTTTTTTGTTCTATCGAATGGCTTGAAAATATTTACAGGGTTCCATTCAAAATTTTCGACCTAGGTCAATTTCCGATAAAACCGGAAGTGATTTTCAATTGTTTTTTTTATGGAAAATATGGGTTTTAAGGACCAATATCACATGAATTCCACCCAGTGGAAAAAAATTCCGACCACTTTTTTAGACGGAAGTCAAATCTGAGAAAATCGAATCATGCCAGCAGATATCATTTCAATCTAATTGTTCTGGCCAGGTATTATTATGATATTGATTTCGAATTTTTTTGCATCATATACATATATTGTTCAATTCATTGTCATATTATCATCAAGTGAAAGCAAATTCAATTTTATTGTTTTACTCAATTATTCTAGCTTGTTTTTCAATTACCATTCCATCCCTTCAATGTTCGGGTTTTGTTTCGATGATTATTAATTTACAGTTACAGCCAAGTCCACTTTGGACATAAGATTAAATGGATTTAGTAAACACGAACAGAGACGATATTCAAGATCTTCTATGCTCATTAAATCAGCTTTATTAACAAATTCCTGTATACTCAAGACAGATAATGGCCTACAGTTATGGAAGAAATTTGATACTCCACTTTACAAAAAACTGAAGAAAGCGCAGGAATATATGGAAGAGTAAGTCTCCAAAACGGTTTGTACTAAATTTCTTAAATGATGATTTTATTCTAATTTGAAAATATTTCAGTGTTGCTATTGATCTTCTGTCATTGAAAATCTCTTTATTTTCTGAAAGAGATAAGAATACTCCTTCCACATTATTAGAGTCCTATATGTCATCCCCAGAATTGGATTTCAAAGATATCATAGGAGTTATTTGTGATTTTCTTTTAGCTGGAATTGATACTGTAAGAATTACTTCCTCAATATTTCTATTTCTTTATCCCTATTTTTAATACTAGAATTTGGAATTGATAATACTAATACAAAGTTAAAGTATGGTTTGCTACCACGCATATTTGTAGACGTCACTGCGAGTAAAACAATTGACAGCGTCCATGTCTCGCGGTTCGACAGCGGTAATCTAGATTTGCTTGAAAAGATTTGTTGCATTTTGTTCTCATCAATTTTTCGCAGTTTGACTTGAGTCTATACTGTCTTAGATATCGTACTATTATTAACAGGAAAATATTCAGTTGGAATGACATTCTCTTTTATATTTCTGTGATTTTCAGGAGCAACGAAGTTAACTTATTGATATTTCAAACTTGTTTGAAAACAGTTTGGTAGGAAATGTTTTGAACAGATAGTTGCTGTAATGTAAAGAATGCATGTTAATAGTGAATAACATTTTGGAATGATAGGAGGGATTACATTATATCAACCATTTTTTGAATTGATGTTATCTTGACAGCAAGCTTTTATTCATTGCTTTGGCAATATGAGTCATCGGTTCTCGGGAAGCGGAAAATATTATGTTAGTAGTTCCCTTAGTGCTTCTATTTGTATTTGAGCAACCAGAAATGGCACGATTAGGCATTGTTACCAGTTTATGATGTTGAATATCGAATGAATTTTTGAAAATTTCAAAGGTTCAAATAATGATGACAATGAAAGACTCGCAGTGACATCATGCGCAGAATGGACGAATATTGGACTCGTGAGTAGCACACCATACTATATACAGGGCTGGGCAAAAGTATGGAACCAGGTGAATATCTTGGTAAGCGTTTGTCAAATTTTTCTGAATATATGTACAGGGTGATTTCAAAATGTGGTGGATTTGAAAATGTTATCGTCGATGTTGCCACTTTTTCAGTTATTCCGGAATTATGAATTTCCTTATTTTAAATAGAACATCCTGTATATCATTGGATTTTCAGATTCTCCCTGAAAAGCTGATTTCATCGATTCATCACACTTGGAGTCTAGCAAGAATGATTACTGAGATATAGGGTGTTCAAAATCAAGATTTTTCAACTTGAGGATGTGTCGAAACTATTCATTATTCGTCAAAACGGCCTCGTCAACTCTTGATTTACAATCTACCGACATTTAATTGAAACAAATACAGGGTGGTTCAAGATTCCGAAATCTGATCACCCTGTATCTATTCCCATTAAATACCAATAGATAGTAAATCAAAAGTTGAGATAGAGACATGAAAGCCGTTTTGACCGATAATGAACAGTTTCGACACAAAAAAATCCTAAAGTTAAAAAATCTTGATTTTGAGCACCCTATATCTCAGTAATCATTCTTGCTTGACTCCGAGTGTGATGAATCGATGAAATCAGCTTTTCAGGGAGAATTTGAAAGTTCAATAAAATACAGGGTGTTCTATTCAAAATAAGGTAGTTAATACTAATTCCGGAATAACTGAGAAAGTGGCAACATTGACGATAACATTTTCAAATTCACCACGTTCTGAAATCACCCTATAAATATATTCGAAAAAATCTAACAAACGGTTACCGAGATATTCACCTGGTTCCATACGTTTGCCCAACCCTGTATACTTCGATCATGCATTATTGGAAATTAGTGAGAGTGAATATCAATATCTTTCACTTCTTGAATTGATTAGATAAGTGATTATCTTAAATGTTGTTACCATTAATTAAGGTATCTACGAAGTTAAAGAATCTGATTAAAAAAAAAAATGGTTTCTACTAAAACCATTCACATAGTATTTTTTATTATATTGTGAAAAATGTGACGGTCAGATTTCTTGAAAGGGTGTTTTCCTGTTTTTCCTTCCGAAAACAATAAGTACTTTTATAACAAATCAGATGTTCACGCTTACTACAAATATGCTTGAGGAAGACCAGTATCATACTGACGATGTGCCTTTTGACCTTTCCTTATGTTCTTTTTTAATAGTTTATGGACTCTTTTTCTGTTTTTGTTGGAATGTTCAATAAAATTACATATTATATATTATTATTATTATATTGGAATATTATTGATAGGTACCCACATAAAATCGAAATATTTCCATTTTAAAATGTGATATTCATATCTTCGCGCCAATGTTTCATTGCTCTAGTTCCCAAATAAGGAACCCAATATTTCATATTTGGGATCTAAGGTCTACTAAAAATCCTAAGCTAACTTTGCGAGTACTACTCTTAGATATTTCGGTTGAATAGCTTTTCATGCATATGGCTATCCTGAACATTCGGAGAAGTTTGCCAATTCAACTTTCAAATTCTGGTAATCGGTGGTTTCCATGATATATTGAATTCCTGATTCATATGAACATGAACATTTTTCATTGGTTAGGGCTATTTAATATGTTCGACTCATGGTACAATTATTATTGTACTTCATTCTCAAAACTTATGATATAATAATTGGTACGTTTCAATGAAACTCTATCTAATGTTAAGTTGAAAGTGTAATAATTCTAAATTGGTTCCCGTATTATTTTTACAGACAACATACACTACTAGTTTTCTTTTATACCATCTAGCCAAATATCCTGATGTTCAAGGAAAGCTGTATCAAGAATCTCTGAAGCTTCTACCAAATAATGATAGTCCAGTCACTGAGGATGTTCTCAAAGAAGCAGTATATGCAAAAGCTGTATTGAAAGAGTCTCTAAGGTTGAGACCGATATCCGTTGGAATAGGGAGAGTTCTGCAAAATGATGCTACGTTTTCTGGATACACTGTCCCTTCAGGGGTAAATATGAGATTTATTGTTATAGTTGAAGATCATATTTTATTCTTGACATATACTTGTAGTACAACGCTTTCCTCCTTCATTACCAGAATCTATTGCAAGTGTTAGTTGAGGAATTATTGTGTTTCCAATTGAGTAATATGTGTGCGAAGTATATACCTTTTTTTTATCGCTTGGAGCGCACGAAAGGGAATCCCTATAATGTTCAGAGAACATCGTGCGTTCCTAGGGAGGATAGGGACAGGAGGTAGGTATTGGAGTTTTTTTTGAACTTTTGGAGATTATAATATGTTGTTGGGAATACTAGATTCTAATCTCACAATTTTGATATTATAGTACAGGGTGTTTGGTTTACCGACGTATATCTGGAAGGAGGTGGTAGGTGATGTGATTTTGAACATTTTTAACCATATATACTATCATACAAAGTGTTACACTTTTCGAGAAATCATCGCCTAAAAATTCGAAACTGGATATTAAGAAAATCGTTTTATTTAATTCTGGAGAGCCAATTTTTTTTATCATATTTACATCTCATTACGTGGTCAATATTTATGAAATACGTATTCATTTTGAAAAATAAAGATACAATCAGATAATATGCGTAACAATACGATTATATCTCGAAAGTATATATTATGGTTAAATATGTTCGAAATGTTCTCAAATATCAACTTCTTTCGGATATACGTCAGTGAATCAAACACCGTGTATACAGTATACGGACAACAAGCAAGTAACCACAGGACACGAAAATTATATCTTATAACATATAACATGACACAATGCGGAAAATATCAAATAATTGTTTTATATTGTTGGATTATTCGTAATAATATCGACTGATCTATAAAAAAAACTCGAAGTTCCCCAATATATTTCACTTCATTTATAGATACTTCTGAAACTAATGGTAGGTAGGTATATCAATACGGATTTTTCGTATTGATATCCGTGTCAGTAGTTTCAAGTGTCACAATAAAAACTACAAGGAACATTCTTCTATCTACTTTTTTTTTTATTCTTTATTGAACAATCTTATATTTGTAATAACGTAATTCTGACACCCAGAAAACTTATTTACTATATATTATTTTTTCTACACTATAAAATCGATTGTGTGTTTTGAAAATAATTATAAAATGTCTTGCTTGAAATCAGATCAAGATCGTTATGCAACATTGTACACTTAGTCGTATGATAGTTGAATCAGAGGCTCTGACTTTAACTTATTACACCTTTCATTTTAATTAGTTATAAATTCCAACCCTTGCCGCGAAAAGCCCGAACAGTTTGAACTTTCGACCTTAAACAGCGCATTCTCGCAGTAGAACACTGATCAGAAGAGGAAGCGTTGTAGACTGGAGAGTTAGAAGATTTTATCTGAACTACTGAGTATGAGAAACGCACAGTTTTATCATGTTGCTAAATTCACCAACTAATAGATCTATATGAAAAAACAAAAACAACAATTGTTTAAGGTACAATATTATCTAACATTGTTAGTTACTCTTACTACCGTATTTGTCCGCATGGTGATGACACGATCACTGAGCTTCTGGACCTTGGTTGGAGTGAGTCGCTAGCGCCAAACTATAGATTATTTGAAGCAGCCTTATTACTTTCTATCATTATCATTGTTCATTTATTAAGTCATAACTATGATACTTCCGAATACATATTGAAATCGAGTCAAAAATTCTTGTAATTGTCACACATATGTTTTTACATGTCACGAAATTATTTGAAGGATAAGATCGAAACAAATTATGTAGGTAACCTATCTATATTGTAACCAATTAGGCGATCCAAAGATCAGAATCAATTAGGCGCCTGATGGCTGGTTGGCAACATTGATATAATTGATAGAATTATGATGAAATAATGCAACCATAGCAATTAAATTGTTTCCTTTCGTGATTTTCTGTGATTATAAGACTAGTACCTGATATGCAGATGTAGAAAAATATTGCTGGCATATAGGATTTCCAATGCATTAGAAGGAACCAGTCGAACAGCTCAAAATTCCACAGATATACGTGTTGGATAATCAAGTCTCCAACTGGGCTACTCTACTCTTCCATAACAAAAACCATTTCAGAATTTGAATTTTTTTGTGAACGTGAACATTTTAGAATTTGCAAAAAATTAGGTATTTTATTTTCAACCGTTATGGGCTTACTAATGCCACGATCCGACTAAGACTTCCCATAGAACGGGTAGGCTCTGGAATTCATTGCCTGAGGAAGTATTCCCAACAACATATAATCTCCAGAAGTTTAAAAAACATTTCAATACCTACCTCCTATCCCTATCCCCCCTAGGAACGCACGATGTTCTTTGAACATTATAGGGATTCCCTTTCGTGCGCTCCAAGCGATAAAAAAAAATCCTGCGAATGAAATTCACATGAAAAGTCGATAGCGATCGACTGTTTTTCGTTTATTAGCGACATTTTCGATCATTCAGTTTTGCTCTTATGCAATGGAGAGTGGACTGATAGTGAATTGTTGGCATTCAGTTACTCCACTGTGTCGTTGGGGACCTAAATTAATTTTTGCAACACTTCTCAAGCTTTTTTATGTAAATAATGAGTCTATGCGTTCTTCAAAATCGTTGAACTTCAGAGCTCATTTCAAACGTAACGTCATGGCCGCAATTAGACCATGTTCAGCGATACGCCAAATAAACAGTGACGCCAGGTTTTATGCTGTTTCGTTATTGGTCAGATAATGTTTCCATTCCCACTCATGAAGCAAAGGCTGCTAAGTCACCAATCACAATCAAGTCATCAAAAAGATGTCGTTGAATAAAACATAATAGGAGGAAACCATGATATTATAGTTCATTCCTGACTTTTTCGGGCAACCAGCATGTCCAAATATTTCTTATACTTCATGACAAAATATCATGTGAATGTTGGAGATTTGGCAACATTGTACTGAATACTGAGACACCGCCGTAATTCGTGCGCCGTGTTGTCACGTTTACCAGGGCGAATGTCCTCTAGTGTGAATTAATATTATTATTTTTCACACAAATGTGTTATCGGCAATAAGCCATAAGGGTCAATTTTAAGACAATTAATTTTTTATTGCTAATTAGGAATATTACGAATACATAATTGAGAATTTATGAGTTATTGAATAACTAATATTTCTGAAGTTCCCAATCGTATTTCAACTTATGGCAACTGTGCTATGGTCTGCCCCTATTTACGAAATCGAGGCGTCAGTTTTTACTCGCGGTAAATTTCTAGCCGTTTGAAAATTACCCTGACATTATTGATGATTTTTGCATCTTAAAATGGACCAAAAAATTCTGAAAAAATATGAAATTGAAAGGTATTTTAGTGATGATTATATTTAAGAAATTTAAAAAAAAATAGTCCACTCGCCTACTGCCATTCTCGTCACCAAATATCCAAGAAAATATATTTCAAATTATCTCCAAAAGAAAAACGCTTAGGCAACGAAGAAACGATAGATTCCAACACGTCGCATATCATCCCAGTGACCTACCCTGACAAGGCTATATTAAGATATAAAATCGCTGAGACGGCAGCATTGCACGTAAAATGTGGTACAGTTGAATAGTTGATCATTCATCGCGTATATCTGTTGAACTCTTGCATGGTCGATTGTTTGGGGAAACATCTCGTTCTAATGAATTGGAAATCCTACATTTTATTAACCATAAATAATTTCGTTCCATAAAATGATAGACGATAGACTATTGAACGAATCGTTTTAATCTGACTCTGACATGACTATCTAAGCAACTATCTTTTGTTTATCACTTTTCCTTGTTTCCAATTCCTAGGTATATTCTCAATATCACAATCACTCTGAAATAAAATAAATGGTGTTGATCTCTACAGGTTTATTCTCTTCATTACCCCTAAAAACATATCTGTTTTAATAGGGATACATGAAAACATATCTGTCCTGTTTCTTCAAATAAAACTGTTCAACATCCTTTAATATACAGTTTTTCTTCTTTTTCTCCTCCTTCATTATCCTTTATAATTCTGGCGACCTTTAAAACTCACCCCTAGATTAGATTAGATTTAGAATGGGGCCTTCGGGCTATCTGCCTCCACACCGCGACCTTTTCAGATCTATTGTGTCTGCCCTCAAAATCGATTAGAGTTCTTCGGCTAGCCCCGTCTTCTCTATGAGACTCCATAGGCTAGCTTTCAGATCCCCTGTGTATCTCTGGGCTTCTGGTTTTTCCTCACCCAGCGTAAGGAACCTTAGTCTTGACAAGCCCTCACAGTGGCAAAGTATGTGTACTGCTGTTTCCTCCTCTTCCTGACAGAACCTGCACAGCAGTTCTTCAGTCAGACCTATCGTACTCATGCGTTTGTTGAGCCTACAATGCCCTGTGAGAAGTCCCACTAGTATTCTAGTTGAACTTCGTTTCTGGCTTAGTAGATATTCTGTGAATGTTGGCGATGGTTTTTTAATAAACTCTTTTGCCTGTCTCATTCCTGGCGATTTGTTCCACCATTCTTGAGATTTGGTTTGCATCCATGATTTGATACTAGTCTTTTGTATAGCTTTCGCAATACCACAGAAGGGTTCTGGGCCATTCAGAGCTTTGTTTGCTCCTGCTCGGGCAAGTGAGTCTGCCTCTTCATTGCCCTCGTACCCTGTATGTGCTGGTACCCATGCTAGAGTCAGTCTGTTCTGACTGCCCAGTGCATTTAGGGTTTCTAAGCAGTCCCATACTAGTTTTGAGTTAACTTGCATAGAGTTGACTGCTTTGATTGCCGCCTGGCTATCTGAATAGATTGCAATGGTTTTGCCTTTAAACTCTTGCCTTATCAATTCTTTCACGCAATGATGTATTGCAATAATTTCTGCCTGAAACACCGTCGCGTATTTACCTAAGCTCAGTGAGATTCTTGTCTTTGGCTTGGCCCCATAAATACCAGCTCCTGATCCAAACTCAGTTTTGGAGCCGTCCGTATAGACAGCAATGTCTGCATTGATAAG